CGTCACGCACCAACCCACAAAGTTGTCACCCCGCTTAGTCCTCCTGTGCCTGTCAGGTTCGCCCGTGTGCCACAGTTCGTCGTAGCCTACGCGTCAACCCTGCACATTCGGCACCAACTTGTTGGGTCGCCCAACTCCCACTTCAACTCACCTCTTACCTCGCTCGCAAGCCGACCCTCACTGATCGTGCTACCCCGAGCTTCCAACTACTGTTTAAGAGAGCTATCTAATCACGCAACCGAAATTTATAGTGTGCATGCATGCGCGAAGAACACGGAATCGTAAAGACTTAGAAAGAGAGAAGGGGAGGGAGTGCCTACGTTCTGCATGGCCAGATCGCAGCATGGGGGACGTAGCCCCTCTCCATGCATCGATCCAATCATGCAGCCTGCGGGCCAACTAGACACAACACAGGAGAGAGAAGGCAGGAAAGACGAAGCTCAAGAAGAAAGATACAGTTACAAGGGCGCCCTGCCCAAAATTACAGTTACACGCAAGATTAAGGGCGCCGACTAATCAGAGCTCCGTTGCAGCCGCAAAAAGAAACGCGCGAGCAAAAAACACCGCGCGGCAAAATAAATCCCGGATTCCTAAATTCCTTGCTAATGCAAAATGCAAATAGAACTTCCAATAAAGCACAAATTCCAAAAAGAAAGTATGAAATTCCGAGAGCCGTCTAGGGCTCGACAAGATTCGTAAAAGAAATTAAAAAAGACAGACGCAAAATTCCCGCGCAATTATCGTGCCCAAAAACCCGACAGCAGAACAAGAAAGAAGCGATGTCAACCATTATTAATCGCGCCTCCATCAGCGTGCCAGCCACTCAATCGACCATCCCGGGACTTGCCCAGCCCTGGCCCCAGCCATCCGAAAAGAAGCAACGTAAAAAGAAGAACAAACAAGGACACCGATGCAATTTTCCCGCTGGATCCCATCTCCCATAATTGGCCCAACCTTCCCAGCTTAGGACCCCTCATTGTCATCGCGCAGAAAATCGCTCGGAACAGGAATTGGTTCGTCACATGACAGCGCCAACCAGTAATGTAGGTTCGGTTGCCAGCCCATCCTAACGGTGGGTCCAAGGCTTGACATCACCGGTAATGGAGGTTTGGAGCATTGCAGGGCCCTCTCCCACATCCCCTACCACAATTGTACCCAAAAATGTTTTTTTTTTGTTTTTCGTGGCGAGGTGTGTTTTAGCAAGCAACGCGTTCCTCATGATGATTTTTCCCGGGCTTCGAGCTCTTGATCCACTGATCGACTGTTAGGGCATACTCACCCTGCAACACCAAATCCGCAAAATATGCGGATTTGAGAAGGGTCGATTTGAGGCTTTGGGCATGGTTCGGGTCGCACTGCTGTACCTTTTCAGATGGGACAAGGCCCTAGCTGTCTAAAGTAATGGCGATTCGGTGCTTTTCTGGTCACACGGGGCCATCCACAAATTGTGCAAAAACTTTGGTGAACAAGTTTTCACCAATTCTAAAAAAAAATGCTTTAAAATAACTAGGTCATTTCAGGCCACCTCTAGAGGTGACCACAAATTCACTTGCCCAATGGCTACACAGACCGTTGACAAATGGGCACATGAGCGGTACATTTAGGACTTCGGCAAATCTGTGTGACCGGGGAAAATTTGGGATTATAGGTCCCGCATCGAGATAGAAGCAGACGCTCTGCCGCTGCTCCCCATGTGCAAAATGAGAATGAATCTTCTACAAAAACGCGCGTTGATTCTTTCTCATTTTTTCAAGTTTGAAAAAGTGTGTGTGTGTGTGTGTGTGTGTGTGTGTGTGTGTGTGTG